ATTTACATTTGCCAGCAGTGTAAACTTTGAGAGAAAACTTCATTTGGCACGCAAGTCTTTTTCAGGTGACAGAAGGGACTCAAAATGGAGAAAATTAGCGGCATCTCATCAGAACAGCGGCAATTAGAAGTACGCTTTAATTTTTGATGCCCAGCTCTCAAAAATGATTAATATACTTTTAATATTATTTCAGAAGCGTTCCAGCAAAAATTTAACGAATCTGTGGAAATAATGGAGCGAATAACCAAAAGATATTTCCATTATAAAAGAAATGTTTCACAGTCGTCTGCATAAATATACTATCTGTCATATTGATAAGTTTTAACAATTTATTTTTTTGTTACTTCATTTTAATTATCTTTATAAAAATTGGGTTTATTTTTTAACAAGGACCATATAGTTCAAAATTCAAAAATTGCGCAATATACATATGCATGATGTACATAAAAAAAAAATTAACAAGCTTTTATAAAAATTTTAAGATTTTTTTCTGCATTAAAGAAACACATATGAAGCAGTTTTAAAGTCCATTGAAGTTTGGTATGTGTAATAGAATACAAGGTTGAAGTGGCTCAAAGCATGCATTTTCTGTCATAAAATTCATATGGATGAAAATGCGCAGTACCGCATTTATGTATATTTAAAAAACTTTGAAAAAATGCAATGAATTAAATTAAACTATTTTTTTGCCGTTTTGCCGTTCGCTGGTATATCGTTCTTGTGGGCTGCAGGGGAGTCCCGCTGGCGAGTCATTTTTGCGACCCGCCGGTAAGTCGTTTTTGCGACCCGTCGGTAAGTCGTTTTTGCGACTCGCCGGCGAGTCGTTTTTGCGGCCCGCCGGCGAAGTGTGCTTTTCATCCGACGGCGAGTTCGCCGGCGAGTCGTTTGCGACCGTCGCCGGCGAACAAATTGTTCCCCAAAACGAGTCGGAAACGACGTCGTTTGGCAAATTGGGTACATACATATATATGTATACATATATATGTATACATACATACGTGCATTCAAACATACATATATACATATGTAGGTACTCGTACCCGTCATGCGTCGCTTTATTTCTTTTTTCCCCTTCCCTATACTACCTATATCTTTCTTCCCACTCATGTAACGTTTTCAGTTTTAAAAATTTCACTCTCCATTTTTGCGATTCCGCCGCCTAAGAAGTTTCACTTCAAAAAATTTTGACTCAGTTTTAAGGCTCGATAACGTAAAAAAGTGAATAGTTAAAATAAAATTTAGTTAGAATTGATTGAATCAGCAAATGTGTAATAAAAAACTGTGCAACAAAATTAGGCAAATCAAAAAGGCACGAATGCGGTATGGCACTTATGAAAGAAAAAGAGCTCCATAATATCATACCACCTACCGTTTTGTCCCTAAACGTCAAAATTTTTGTACAGTGTATATAAGTTTTCGTAATTTGCTCGCAATCCCGTTGGTAATACATTTAACATCAATCTCGGATTTAGTCTATAGTATATAGTCTAGTCGGGTCTATAGTAAAATTTAGAGGTACATATTTTTGTGGAACATTTTAACTCATTATTTCTCACCCGTGTGGGTTGTTTTGACCCTTGTTTGGGCCAAATCTAGTGTTAATAGAAATAACCCCCCTCCCCTTTTCTGTTGACCTATTGATCTGAATGTTGGTAAACATCTTTAGTTCTGACAACAATATAATTATATATATTCAGCACCCTTGTAAATCTAAGACGTCCGCCGCCAAAAATTGTGGATTACATATTTTCCCACAACTATCTCAATATGGGTATCGAATGGCTTGACAATACAATATGAAGATTTTCTAAATCCAAGATGGTTGCCACCACAAAATGGCGGATTGAATATTTGTTTTCAATCCCCTAAATATTCATTGTATGACAGAAAAAAGTATACAAAGAAAACCAGGTGGTAGTAGAGCAGAGATACCGTTCCTTGACGTGGTCGTTGTTGATAAAACGTTTGACCTTTGAAAACTTTCGCCTTAATAACTAGGTTAAACTTTATTTGCACACTTACCAACTTACTTATGAACACAATACACCAGTGCAGACTAATCGTTTTCTGGTATAAAACATCATCCACTTATCGATAACAACCAAATAGGCACAAAATCTTATAAGAATTAAACTTTTTTTTTTTTAATTTTACACGGCGGCCCAAAAACTCCTGGAAACCCAGCGATGTTTTTAATGTTAGAAAAAAATCCTTACGTGATAGAGAAAAACGGACTTCAGATTCGTATTCAGTTGCCACAAAAAAATATAACACACCCGGTCTGGTTAAATTAACCTTTCGCCTTTTTTTTACCTTTGAAAACTTTGTTTGTGCACTTGTCAATTTATGAACACATTATGCAAGTGTAGAATAATCATTTTCTAGCGTGAAACACCATCTGCCTATCGAAAAATAAGTGTTTTTTTCTTGAGTCTTTTTTCAGATGCTAAATTTTGAATACTCATAACTCTCATTCTATTGGAGGCTCACATTCAATTCTGGTGTCATTTTCAAGATATATTATATGGAATATATTACTTTGAAACCCATTTTCAAATCCGGTATCACTACTTTATAGATTTTTTTAATGTAATCTATGAATGGTACATCTACACGGGTACAATATTTTTATAAGACTTAAAAACTTGTGTTAGTATTTGGCCGAGCTTCTCCTCCGATTTGTGGGGGAGAACCTACAGTTTTACGCCGGCTCCGAACGGCGATTGTATTTTTATGAGAAGCTGTTTTTCATGGAAGAAATACACTTAGAGGTTTGCGATTGCCTGCCAGGGGCGACCGCTGTTAAGAAAAACCTTTCTTCTATATTTTTTTCCGATATTGCTCTGGCACTGCTAACCACTACACCACAGATTATTAGAAAAATTTATCAGCGTCCAAGCATGTTCGGTAAAGGATATGCAGCGTGCAAAATAAAGAAAACAATGCCAAATCATCACTTTGACTCACTGGTGCTTTAGCCAGAGACCGAAAAAAACTGGTCCACATTAAACACATTGTAACTTTTTCTATCATTAACCATTTATTTTTTACTTTTTGTGATATATCACTGAGAAAGCGTTTTATGCAAGGGAACTTATGGTTAATGACTGTGAGAAATGTAATCGCTAACGAAAATAAAGGCTTTTTTGCTTCTTTTTTTTTGCAAAGGTGAGTTAGTAAGTTTAATTATGGTGCAGAGAAAATATATGATGAAAATGCAACGAAGTAAAACAAACTATTAAGTAGAACTATTTTTGTTCACTCAAATGATCACAGTTATAAACTTTTTTACACACTTTACACCCTGAAACTTTTTTATCACTACTCGTATCCAAGTCAATGCTTGATTTTCGGAATGCAATATTTGATTTTCGCCCCATCTTCTTCCCATCAATAAATAAACCAAGGAATGAAACCGATTCAAAATAACGTTCCGGTTTGGGTTTCGGTTTTGCCAAGTGTTTCGGTTTCGGTTTTGGTTTCGTTCTTCAAAATTTATTTCGGTTTTGGTTTTGGTTTCGTTCCGGTTTCGGTTTTTCACAGAAATTTTGTTGATATTATTTAAATCACAATGTCTTAAACGTTGAGGAAAGAAAATCGAAAATTACAGTTCACTGATAATATCAACACTAGGTTCTTTCCCTAACAATCCGGACCGGATTTGGTAATTAGAGAATAAGAGAAACATTTTCTTTCAAAAATGGAACAAAGTTCAGAAGTACGGAAACGCAAAAACCCTCATTTCGTGCCCACAAGTCGAGAAGCAGCTGATTCACGTTGTTCTTGTTTTTGTCACTTATACCATGTTCTGACCGACATCGGAAACATGTTTTCGTTGCTAAAACTGGTTTTCGACCTGAAACTTGTGTTTTCGTCCATATAAAATCTGTTAAACGAAAACCAGTTTTCGCTGAAACCTACTTGAAAACTCACTTTCCACTCATTCCAATCGGTGTCTTCACTAGTTTTTTTCGATTATTTATCGAAGTGGAAGTCATATTTTATCATCTTTAATACGCCATTTCGGATTTATTGTTAATTGCCTGGCCAAAGCAAAATAAGAATGAAAGTTAAAGGTTGTAAATGAAAAGAAAAT